TAACATGGATTGAAATTTTAAATTCTGTATAATAAGAAACCTATTACACAAGAAAACATCATAAGAATTTGAGTCCAAAGAATTCTAAACGTTAAATGAGGATTTTTATAAATGCAGAAACGGCAGGCAGAAAAGTCAAGCCCTGATACATTGAGTACCCAATGAAATTAGAAAGTAGACTTTACATAGCTCAATAAAATTGACATTCAAAGGACCTCTTCAAACAGTGGGATTCTAAAGCCTAACACATTTTAAAAATTCTGCTGTGAACTCCTAAAAAACTCTTAACTATAAAAAATAAGGCAACTTTAAGTTAGAAATGGATGGATGGAATTGACTGAGCGCACACAGAAGCCAGATTTGCCAGGTGCCCACGTGGGATCCATGTCTCATACAAGCCTCCAGCCAGCCTGTCAACATAGGCTGGTGAAATAACAATCTCAGACGTAAATCAGGGGTTTCTAAGACTCCGTTTTGTCGTAGACCAATTAAGATCATCATAAACTTCGTGCTGTCGAACATTACCTTGAAAGAAAATTATGCAGACAGCTTTTCTGAAGAGCTATATTTATGCCACATGCTTATTATTCTTTGGGTGGAGGAGGTGGCAGGGAACTTTTTGTTTGAAAGTTCTTTTGTTTTCTGCTACCTTTACTTAAATATGACCAGGTACTATTTTTATATCCCATAAAGTGCTTTGAAAAAACGCTAAGTGAATAGTGCTACATAAAATAGGGGAGAATTTTCATATTCTCTGGCTTGTAAGAAGCAAAGTGAATAATACTTGACTCTTAAAAGGGGAAAGATAATATGCAGAAAAAATTAACAAGTATCCAGTAAACCCCCCAGCCTTGTAAAATGGTAGGTTCAAAGACAAGGGAAATCCTAGCTGAGAAATACATGTTCATTAAAAGCAGCATTTACACCACAGCAAATTTAAATGAACATTAATGTGGTGATCTTAATAATCATTTTAATGTCATCAAATGGTTGTGAATGGAATCAGAACCTATTTATATTTACTTAATGTTGACATATACAAACTGCTTAAAATAAATACTACTATAGTGAAAATATTTGTGAATTCTAAGACATCAGATTTATTTCTATAATAATAAAACAATTTGGATCACCTCAGAAATCACTGTAATAGGATTTGACCATGTAGCAGATACAATCAGATTGAGACCAATTAGTTTTTGGATTTCTTTTTATTTTTTAACTTTTTTTTTTTTTTTGAGTTGGATTCTTACTCTGTCACCCAGACTGGAGTGCAGTGGCCGCTCCCGGCCACCGCAGCCGCGACCTGCTGGGCGCCGGCGGGCCTTCCGCCTCAGCCTTCCAAGTAGCTGGAACTACAGGTGCGCGCTACCACGCCCAGCTAATTTTTGATTTGTTGTAGAGTTGAGGTCTCGTCAAGTAGGCGAGTCTCGAACCCGCAGGCTCAGGCAATCCACACACCTCGGCCTCCCAAAGTGCTGGGATTACAGTTTGAGCCACCAAGCCCGGCCTGGATTCCTTTTTCTAACTGAAATCCAACTTATTTAATCCAACAGATATTCTTTTTTTTTTTTTGAGCCAGCGTCTCTCTCTGTCGCCCAGGCTGGAGTGCAATGGCATGCTCATGACCACCGCAGCCTTGACCTGCTGGGCTCAGGCAATCATTCCACGTCAGCCTTCCAAGTAGCTGGAACAGGCATGAGCCACCACACCTGACTGATTTTTTTTTTTTTTGAGTTGGAGTCTTACTCTGTCGCCCA